GATCAATATTTGGGAGTTTGCGGAAGTTTTGAGTGATATGGAAAGACAAATTGGGCTCAAATTGAAGAAACATTGAAGAAAAATGGGCTAGAAGCTGATTGGACTCGAACTGGGCCAATGGATTAGCTGTGGGGGCCCAAGACTTGAAGAAGCCCAAAATTCCCATCAGTACCTGCAGCCCGCATAGGATTCCCTGCGGCCCGCGTGGATTCCTGACAAGGGCAATTTCGGGATTTTGCTTAGAGCTCTATATTGGGAAGGTTGGTGTGCCTCTTTAGCATTATCTTGGAGATCCTATTTTGAGCTTTTCTCTCTAGAGTTTGGAGTGCTTTTGAAGGCCAAGAACACCTCAAGAACATCTTCTTTTTTCCTCTTGAATCTTGTCAAATGTTTGGTACAATCTTATCGAACTTTTTTCATTTGAGTTTAGCCATGCTTGGCTAAACAAATCTTGGTTGACTTTTTGTTGAATCCTTTGAACTTTTGTTGGATGTTGAAGAATCTATGAACTTGTTCTTGAATCTTTATGGAAATGTTTTGTGTTTCATCATATTATCACTACTAGTATGTTTTTATTCATGAGTTTAAGTATGTTTGTAGTGATTAGTTGGCTAATTTCTTGATTAAGTAAATGATCCTCAAATTAAAGCTTTATTATTTGAATCCGGAAGTTGAGAAGCTAGTAAATAAAATGGAGATGAAGAAATCCACAAGATTAGATGTCATGCAAGTTGAATTGCCCCCAACTCATACAAAATTACCCCATCCCTTATTCAACCACCTGAATTGGAATTGAAGGTCTTACCTCAACACTTGAAGTATGCCTATTTGGGGAAGAATGAAACCCTTCCAGTTATCATTTCAACTTACTTAACCGAATTTGAAGAAGAACAACTCGTCAAGGTGTTGAAGGAGCATAAAGAAGCCATGGGATGGACGATTGCAGATATCAAGCGATTGAGCCCCTCCACTTGTATGCACAAGATCTTAATGGAGGATGAATGCAAGCCGAGACGGGACGCACAAAGAAGGTTGAATCCGCTGATGATGGAAGTGGTCAAGAAAGAGATTTTGAAGCTCCTAGATGCGGGGATGATCTATCCAATCTCGGATAGCAAGTGGGTGAGCCCGGTGCAAGTCGTTCCAAAGAAGACGGGGATCACGGTGGTCGAAAACAACAAAGGTATAATGGTCCCCACCCGTATGCAAAACGGGTGGAGAGTATGTATTGACTACTGCAAACTCAATGCAAGCACACGAAAAGATCATTTCCCATTGCCTTTCATTGACCAAATGTTAGAAAGGTTGGCCGGGAAATCCCATTATTGTTGTCTAGACGGGTACTCCGGTTTTCACCAAATTCCGGTGGCACCGGAGGACCAAGAAAATACAACTTTTACATGTCCATTTGGCACTTTCGCATACCATAGAATGCCATTCGGATTGTGTAATGCCCCAGCCACTTTCCAGCGTTGTATGGTTAGCATCTTTTCGGAATATGTTGAAAACATAATTGAGGTTTTTATGAATGATTTCACGGTATATGGCAACTCTTTTCAAGAATGTTTGACCAATCTCACAAAAATTTTAAAAAGATGCATTGAAACAAACTTGGTTTTGAATTTTGAGAAATGTCATTTCATGGTGAGTCAAGGTCTCATTTTGGGTCACATTGTGTATAAAAAAGGAATTGAGGTAGATAAGGCCAAAATTGATGTTATTCAAAGCTTACCTTACCCGACTTGTGTTCGGGAAGTTCGTTCTTTTTTGGGCCATGCAGGTTTCTACCAAAGGTTCATCAAGGATTTTTCAAAGATAACAAGACCAATGTGCCAGCTCTTGCAAAAGGAGGTTGATTTCGAGTTCAACGAGGCGTGCAAAGAAGCTTTTGACAAGCTTAAAGAGTTGCTTACATCCGCTCCCATCATGCAAGCACCAAATTAGGATCTTCCCTTTGAGATCATGTGTGATGCAAGCAATTACGCGATAGGCGCCGTCTTGGGTCAAAAGAACGGGAGGGCATCCCATGTGATCTATTATGCATCAAGGACACTAGACAATGCTCAAAGCAACTACTCTACCACGGAGAAGGAGCTATTGGCCATAGTGTTTTCTTTGGAGAAGTTTCGACAATATCTACTTGGCACCAAAGTCATAGTGTATTCGGATCATGCGACTCTCAAGTACTTGATGACAAAGAAAGATGCAAAGCCGAGACTCATCCGATGGATCCTACTGTTACAAGAATTTGACTTGGAAATCCGGGACAAGAGCGGGTGCGAGAACCTTGTGGCTGATCATCTAAGCCGGATCACTTCAAACGAAGCTCCTCTCCTGTTGCGGGACGAGTTTCCGGATGAGCATCTCTTTTCCCTTACTCAATCTATTCCTTGGTATGCCGATATCGTTAACTTTTTGGTCACAAAAAGGTATCCCGACACATTCACACGTGCTCAAAAAGACAAGTTGAAAAATGATGCAAAATATTATGTGTGAGATGAGCCTTATTTGTGGAAACATTGTCCCGATCAAATCATTAGGCGATGTGTACCCCAACAAGAGCACCAATCCATTTTGCAATTTTGCCATGAATTCGTTTATGGGGGACACTTTGGACCTAGCCGGACTTCGAGAAAAGTCCTTGAATGAGGATTATTTTGGCCAACCATGTCACGCGATTGTTATATGTTTTGCAAAAGTTGTGAGCGATGCCAAAGGACGGGAAACATTTCGCATAAAAACCAAATGCCCCAAAATCCAATCGTTGTTTGTGAAATTTTTGACGTATGGGGGATTGATTTCATGGGCCCATTTCCCATCTCATTTGGCAACGTTTACATTTTACTCGCGGTTGACTATGTTTCTAAATGGGTTGAAGCAAAAGCCACAAGATCGGACGATGCCAAAACGGTTATCGAGTTTTTAAAGTCTAATGTTTTTGCAAGGTTTGGTGTGCCTAGGGCTTTGATTAGTGATAGAGGGACACAGTTTTGCAACAAAATGATGGAGGCTCTATGGAAGAAGTACCACGTGACCCATCGTGTTTCCACAGCCTATCACCCTCAAACGAATGGTCAAGTGGAGGTTTCAAATCGTGAAGTGAAGTCTATTCTAGAGAAAACAGTGAATCCGACAAGGAAGGATTGGATTTTGAGACTTGACGATGCTTTATGGGCTTATCGGACTGCATAAAAGACCCTGATAGGAATGTACCCGTTTAGGTTGGTCTTTGGAAAGCCATGTCACCTTCCCGTTGAGGTAGAGCACCGTGCGTTTTGGGCGGTCAAGCAATGCAATTTCAACATTGACGAGGCGGGAAGGCATAGGAAACTTCAACTTCAAGAGCTAGAAGAATTGAGAAACGACTCCTATGAAAACGCAAGGATTTACAAGGAGAAAACAAAGCTCTTCCACGACAAGTCCATCTCCCGGAAGCATTTTGAGGCGGGGCATAGGGTCTTACTATACCATTCATGATTGAAGTTATTTCCAGGCAAGCTAAGGTCAAGATGGATTGGACCTTTCGTTGTGATTAAGACCTTTGACCATGGGGCGGTGGAAATTCAAAGTGAAAAGACGGGACAAACCTTCACAGTCAATGGGCACCGGTTGAAGCCAATCTATGAAGGTTTCAATGCTAATGCCCTTGAAGTCATCCATTTGGATGTCCCGATGTGTTGAAGAGAGCTAGGAGGACGTCTTGCCAAAGACGATAAAGAAGGGAATTTTTGGAAAGCGATGTGCTTTCACCATTTTTTTTTAATTCAAATAAACCATTTTACAAAGCGTTTTTATGGAATTCAAATAAATTTTTGAAAGGTTTCACCAAACGTTCCCCGTTTACTCCAAATTTTGTCAATTTTTTTTATACCGGGCCTTAAGGGGATCATTTTGGCTTAAAAAATCAAGTGTTTTGGAAAACTCGCATTTTTGATGTGCAGAAGTACCCGCGGCCCGAGCCTTACCCACGTGAGTGATCAGAAAGTTTTCTAGCAAGTAGACACGGCCAGCCCGTGGCCCGAGTCCAGCCCGCATGGGATTAAGCTTAAATTCAGTTCAGTACACGCGGCCAGCCGCGGCCCGCGCCTCACCCGCGTGGGTTTTCAAAAGACTTAGAGATTTTTATAGTAAACCAGTACCCGCGGCCCGAGTTCCACCTGCTCATAAGATCAGAAACTTTCGAGCATGCTAGACGTGGCCAACCCGCAGCCCGCGCCCAGCCCACGTGTTGGTTGTCATGAGGTTTTGAGCTGTTGACTGCCTTGACTTTCTTTGACCAAGAGATTTAATGAGTTGACCAAACATTGAGCGGGTTTGACCCTTCTTGAGCAAAGATTAAACATCTCCAACACCCTTCTTCTTCATTCTAACCTAACCAATTCCCCCATTCTCTCTCTAGAAGCTCAAGAACACTAAACCCACTTCTCACAAAAATCCATTTTCCTGGAGTTCTACCGGTCGGAATCTCACGAAACCACCACCATTCTTCTCCATTTTTCTTCCTCTACAAACCCCACCCAAATTCCGGTCCGATCTGTGGCCGAAATTCCGGGTGCCACCACCACCCACCACCACCTACTTTCGCGTTTTCCGGCCAACTCCGGCCACCATTGGAGAATCCGAGCACGGGTTTTGTTTCTCTCATCAAGAGCTTTCTAGTCATACAAATCTTTCCGCAAAAACTGACGAAAAATTTTCGTCAAATTCCGGGTGCCGCCACTCCATTCGCCGGAAAGTCATCTTGAAGCTAGTTTGTGGGGTTGTTTTAGCGATTAAAGCGTCAAATACGGAGAAAAATTGCAAGCTTGGGGTGTATCTTGACGAAATCTTTTTGGTGGCACTAGTTCATCCCGGGTCTAAGAAATTGGGTAATCTCATTCTTTTAACTTGATTGTTCATACCCCAATTTGCCATTTGTTGTTGGTATTATGTGCCTTTGTTGTGGTTGAAAGTTATTATCGGTAAAATTTTGTCCCGAATAAATGTTCAAGAGCGCAAAAATGGGGACAGGAGCAACTTCCTCTAAAGGAGGGTCGAAGGGAAAATCCAAGGATCCCCCGTTTTGTTTGTTGAATCGTGAGGATCGTAAAACTTATGATTTTCTCGTTTCAAATAAGCGTCAAGTGAAGTCAACAAAATTCCTCCATAGGGAATCTTTTGCTAGTCTTGGGGTGCTCGATGGAGTCCAAGCGTTATTTAACAACATAGGGTGGGGTCAATTCCTCCATAACCGCGCCGCCACCTATGTTGAACCCACCTTGGAATTTCTTACCATATTCAATCCCGAGGAGGAAGCCCAAACCGTCACCTTCCAAATGCTCGGCGAGAAACGATCTCTACCACATCGGGTCGTGAATGCTTTGATGGGTGCTCCAGTGGACAACCTATATTACCAACAAGACCCATGGCCCGGAAACTTCAATGAACATTACTTTTGGCAACAAATTACCAATGAGCCACAATATTCATCGTCTTCGTCAAAGGCCTCCTCCATAATTCACCCATGTTTGCGCCTAGCACATAGAGTTCTCACATGCACCATTTTCGCCCGCTCCGAAGTAGGACAGATTTCAAAGGCGGAATTATTTTTTCTTTGGTGCATGACTCGTGAGAACGGTCCGCGGCCGGATTTTGCCTCCTTTTTCTTCACCAAGTGTTACAACCTCACAACTATGGACAAAGGAGACATTTTCATTGGGGGATTAATCACCCTCATTGCATCCTGGCCACCGCTTCAACTTCATCTCTCTACTCTTCCATTCGAGAAGGCTTCCGACCCCTCTAGTCTTGACGGCAACGCACTTCGCCGAATGGAACTCATCGGGATTCGGTTGTCGGGCCCATGTGGATCCTTGACAACCAACCATACCTCATTCTCCCCCATGAGTATATAGGGAGTTTTGAGCCGACCGATCCCGATCAATGGATCATTCCATCAGACTACCCTCCACCTGTAGATGATGAGGATGACCAGTTTCAGCCTGCACAACAATTTGCCGAGCCCCAGTTTCATCCTGCACAGCAGTTCGTCGAGCATCAGTTTCAGCCGCAGCAACAGGGGGGATACGAAGTTCCACCATATTTCCCCCCTACTTTCTTTGACCAATTTGCCATAATGTTCTCCACGGTGCAACGTATCGACACCCAAACGCAAGAGAATACGAGAGCCATCCAAGATGTGGCGAGTCGCGTTGACCGATTGGAGCAGTCCTTCCCTCCCACTTCCTGCCAGGTCCAAGATATGTGGGACTACCATTATAGTCACGGGCATTTCCCGCCGCCCGACCCTCCGATTTAGGTCCTTTCCGCCCTTTCCTTAAGCATTGAGGACAATGCTTGTTCTTAAGCTTGGGGTGGGGCATTTCCCTTATTTTTTTTTTTTTTTACTTTTTCATGCATTTTTAGTTAGGTTGCATAACATATTAGTTTAAGTTAATTTGCATTCATTTTTTTTTATTTTATAAAATTTCAAAAAAGATTTTATTTTCTTCTTTTCCACTTTTTATTTTTGCATAACATTTAGCTTAATGCATTAGCATTCATGCATTTTTGTTGTTTGTTTATTCTCACCTCTCTTGGATGCCATGGAACAGGTTCACAGTTATTGTATCATTATTGGTCCAGGATCTTGTTGCTATCTCACCCATCGAATCGAGACCACTAGCTGCAGTTTGGGATTTCATACTTGGGATCAGATGCTGGTAGCTTAAAGGGGTAAGTGATCATAGCCAGGTAGTTTCATGAAGAATTATGCATACAATACTAACAACTTTAGGATATACTATAGCAATGGGTGTTCTTAGCCTTGCGGTCACTACCGCGGAGAGGATCACACTTGATCATGTTTGAACTGTTAGGATGAAGCATTGGTGCTTGTCCCCGAGTAGAATCCATATCCGGTCTCTTTACATCACCATATCTTTTTGCGATATTCTTAGAATTTTAGAGAGTCTTTTAGTCCACATTTGGACATTTTCATTATCTTTGAAAAACCACAAGTTTGAAAAGGAGCTTACATTACATCTTTATGCTCCACACATGGTCATTTTCACACTTAGGCCATTTGGATTATATCATTACCCTTTCGGTTCCACCTACACACTTTTGGGAACCAAATTTTGAGTCAAAGGGTTTTCTCACCAAAAAAAAAAAAAAAAAAAAAAAAAAAAACAAACAAAAAACAAAAAACAAAAACAAAATGAAGCACGCAAAATTTCAGTTGCAACTATCTTAGATAGGTGGCCGGTTCAATTATTGAACAAATTTCCCAACATCTTGGTCACCCGACGTTTGATATTCATTTGTATAGGTCTGTTTTATTGTATATAGATCGAGTTGTTATTTTTTCTTTCTCACTAATTGGTGATATTAGAGAGACTGTCGAGTCGGATACTACAGGAGGTTTGGGCCAACACTAAGTGAACTGATTCCTACAACGGTGCCCGAGCGATTAAACGTAGTTACACATGAGAGAAACCGGCAGATGTGAGATCAGAGTGTGCACTTAAAGAAGAGCTCCACCCGAGCCCATCTAGTTGCTTTCTCCCTACTACAGATGTTCTTCATTGTATACATGTTCCATTGAGGCTGCGACTGCTCATCCCTCCTTACTCACCTAAAGGAGTTGTTCTGGCTGTGGTTTATGGTTCCATTGTCATCGGATGAAAAAGTTGTGAGATAGCAGCGAAATCAATTCTGACCATGTTGACTAACGTCGAACAGGTTCCATGGTTCTATCCATTCTTTTTATTTCTAGGGTAGTTCATCCCAAGTTCATTTAGTCTTGTCTTATTTGAGGACAAGTAAGGTTTAAGCTTGGGGTGATTTGATAGCTTCATTTTATTTACTTCTTTTTATAGTTTATTTTAGTACATTTCATTTGCATTTTAGTTAACTTTCATGCATATTTTCCCTTTTGTTATTTTTATGACCATTTCGGGGTACTTTCTAGTTTCTTGAGCATTATTGCAGATTTTCTTGGAAACTAGCAGGGCGGCACTCTTGGGAGGCGATTGGGCTCGAAGGGAATTGGAGATTTCGTGCTTGATGGCTATGAAGGTGACATGGGGTGGACTTGTCAATTGCTTGAAGGCTTGGAAGAATTGAGCTTTAAATTTGAAAGATGCGGGAGAATTCTTGAGTATGCAAGATCAATATTTGGGAGTTTGCGGAAGTTTTGAGTGATGTGGAAAGACAAATTGGGCTCAAATTGAAGAAACATTGAAGAAAAATGGGCTAGAAGCTGATTGGACTCGAACTGGGCCAATGGATTAGCTGTGGGGGCCCAAGACTTGAAGAAGCCCAAAATTCTCGTCAGTACCCGCGGCCTGCGTAGGATTCCCCGCGGCCCGCGTGGATTCCTAACAAGGGCAATTTCGGGATTTTGCTTAGAGCTCTATATTGGGAAGGTTGGTGTGCCTCTTTAGCATTATCTTGGAGATCCGATTTTGAACTTTTCTCTCTGGAGTTTGGAGTGCTTTTGAAGGCTAAGAACACCTCAAGAACATCTTCTTTTCACCTCTTGAATCTTGTCAAATGTTTGGTACAATCTTATCTAACTTTGTTCATTTGAGTTTAGCCATGCTTGGCTAAACAAATCTTGGTTGACTTTTTGTTGAATCCTTTGAACTTTTGTTGGATGTTGAAGAATCTATGAACTTGTTCTTGAATCTTTATGAAAATGTTTTGTGTTTCATCATATTATCACTACTAGTATGTTTTTATTCATGAGTTTAAGTATGTTTGTAGTGATTAGTTGGCTAATTTCTTGATTAAGTAAATGATCCTCAAATTAGCAAGCAACAAGTGATTTTTGTGTTGTTTTTGCTTCACACAATCATAAAAACATTTCCTCCAACATGGTGGTGAAAGCAATTGACTCCTCTTGGATTTGGTGATTTTTTGGTTCTTAATGCTAGTTGACTTTCACTAATTACATGCTATTTGGAATTAGTGACTTTGACTAAGGAAATTGTTATGAGCTTCTCTAGCCATTTCAACCATTTAAGAAAAGTCTAGGTAATCTCAAGCTCCTTGGATTACTATAACCAAATTAAGGATTTAAATCAAAGTATTGCACTATTAGATTCTAATGATATGTTCATAAGAAGTCAAAGTGAGGAAACTTTAAGTCAACCATCTCTCCCTTATTAATTTTACATCAAACTCTTATTTTTGTTGCATTTATCTATTTAAATCATAGTTAATTCTAGTTTGTTTCAAGTATTTCAAAACACCAAAACCCCCCCATTTTATTTTTATTGTCATTTTACAAGTATTTTTACAAATAGATTTTTCATAGAGTTATAAATTGAACCAATCTCCGTGGATTCGATCCCTTTACCACTATACACTATTTTAGTGTGTAATATTTAGGGTTATTATTTGTGTTGGCCTCAACAACCACCATTAATAACTGTATAGCAAAATAGATTTTGCATATTAAACTATTTATCCAGCTTAAAGGTTTCCAAATTATGTTTTCAACTCTTGATAATGTATGAAAGGTTTTTCAAAGAATTCCAAAGATTTTCAAAACTTGTTTTACAAGCTGACATCATGTCATAAATTTCTTATGTGTGAAGGTTTTTCCAAAGTTTTCATCAGAGTTTTCTTCTATGCTTTTATTTCCTTAAATTGCATGCCTGTATTGGTATAGTTGTATAAATAATGTTTAAAAGACTTAGGAAGGCTAGTTCGCCCTATTTCCTTTTCCTCATTGGGATGTGGTCTGGTGGGTATCAGTAATCCGTCCGAAGGTCATTTAAACATTAGTTATATATCATGTATACACGTATAGACAAAAAGGTTTTCATAGACCAGTTCACTTCCCTTGGATAGCAAGGGCATCCTTCCATTCATCATTCATAGATCTTTCGTTAAATGCATGCCTGTATTTGTATAGTTATATAAACAATGTTTGAAAGACGTAGGAAGGCTAGTTCGCCTTATTTCCTTTTCCTCGTTGGGATGTGGTCTGGTGGGTATCGGTTATCTGTCCGAAGGTCGTTCAAACATTAGTTATATATTATGTATACATGTATAGACATAAATGTTTCCATCAACCAATTCATTTCCCTTGGGTAGCAAAGGCATCCTTCCAGTCACCATTCATAGATCAGAGACACTAGTAACTATTATAGGAATAGTTAGGAGGTTCTATTTACTCTTTCTAGTACGAGAATTCCAAAAGAGTCAATTCATTCGTGAGTCTCTATCATTAGTCCAGTACCTATATTAGAATTCAGAATACGAGATGCATCCTCTGGACACGGATTTCCCCGTTGTCAATTTGGTAACCAGAGTCTCCTGTAGGGAGAGCGGGCATTGTTTGTACAGATCTATACGGGACTGACACTCCCACACACTGAGTGCTAGCTACAGTCCCCGGCCGACCAAGGAAGGGGTGACAAATGTCACATCCATTCTGACGCTTGCAGGGTGTCAAGTTCTCTACTGTCAATCAGTATGGTTACGAGTATCTCCATGTTTACCTTACATTTCATGGCCTTGAGGTAACAAGATATATCATTGTATTTCCTTGTTTTAGAGTTTGCTAGCTGTGTCGTTCATTTGATACTGTATGAAGTCTGTATTTCCTTGTTTTAGACTTTGCTAGTTGTATTGTTCATTCGATACTGTCTGGAGTATGTGTTTCCTTTGGTTAGACTGAGTCAGGCGTATCATTCATTAGATATTCTCCTGCAGTCTATGATTTCTTTTGCCTTAGTCAGCAGTATTACTGCTGAGGCATATGATATATTTCCCATGGTATTTTTACTTGTGATTTTCTCATTATTCCTTTAAAGTAAATACTGTTTTCTGATAATGATAGTATTTCGGGGAAAATTACTCTTTAAAAGCATAACTCTGTTAGGTCTTGGTAGAAGACTGC